CGAAAGGTTAATTGGTTTGGCGTTGGCGGCATTTGTTATTTAAGAAGATGCTATTTTCAATTTATTTTTCCCAAGCTCGCAGGTGTTGTAGAGTTTCGATCATTAGTTGTTTTTGTACCTAAATAGTTGTATTGACATATGCATTTACTGACAATTTAATTTTTCAATTTGTTTAAAAATGACTGAAAAATGTTAATATTTATTAAATTGTTAAGATAGGTAATTATTATAAAATAAAATAGTAACCTCTATAGTTTAGTTAGTACTATTTCTTCGAATTTAAAAAAAAAATCGTTGCTCTTAAGTTGATTAGAAGCTGAGATATTTTTTTTTATTATTTAATCGCAGTGACCTTAAGGACGTTCGATACATCTCTTGCGGGGCAGGCGGTGCAAGAGGAAAGCCTATGCTTATACACGGTAGTTTCGTTGTAGTACCAACCTTACATAAACTAATTTGAGCGAACTAAATATAATATATACGAATGAAATTTATACAACACATATTAGCTTGCATATATTTTACATGTTTAATGCATGGCAATTAACTTTTTATTTGAATAAAAGTCTATTTATCTATTAAGATCTTGTAAAATTATGGATGAAATCTGGCAACAGTGCCATTGCCATGCCGTAGTGGTAAAAGTTGAGTCAACTGTCATTACTATCAACTGTGCTTTGCGCATATTCCGTAAACTTGATGAACATCCACGATACAAAGGAAAAGCAATATAAAATGCGTATGAAACATAATATGGATTGATGAGAAAAAAGTAAAATGTGGAAACCGAGAATCTATATGATAACTATCAAGAAGCTCAGTGTATGATAGCGAGACGTCGCCCGTCGCCTTGTCAAATTGAAGATTATGACAGAACACCTATACTGTTCATTTTGCAAAGAGATCCTTTCAATTTTTGTTTCAAATTGCTATTATATTGCATTAGATCACGAAAAATTTATTTAATATTAATTATTACTACATATGTTTTCGACTGGAATAATTTTATAGTCTATAATCGAGTTATTCAAATATAGCGCGTCAGTCAAAGCGTTAAATACAGCGTACAGTGTTGCCATATTTCCTTTCATTGGATCAGATGTTTGTTCGAATTTGTCAAAACGTTATATATTCATTCCATTATCTCAATAATTACATTGTAAGTTCATATTTTTATTGTTTTAAAATGCTTAGTAATATTTAATTCTTTAATTACAATTTTATTTTCCCTATCCTAACCATTTTTAAGAGCAATATTCACGTTTGATTAAAGTTTTTTCCCAACTCCCATAAGAGCCTGTATAGTATAAGAGCATAATTTTTAATATTTTTCAAAAAAACTATATTGGCAATCGATCTGGTATTTTTACACGAGGCAGTTGACATATTTATTAACAGATTTCAATGATTTTGAAAACTTTCTTACCATTTTTTTTTTTTTCGGTATCGAACCTCCTTAATTATTAATATTAAGAGCCGAAATTTGGAGAAAGTATATATTAAGAGCTATATTTTCATGTCCTACATTAACATTAAGGTGAATTCAACTATTTAATTGCGAAAAAGAAGATAGCGGCGATGCGTTCTCTTACTTGGTCTAGCGAACGAGTGGGGAGAGCGAGGCGGAGCATGCGTGCTACGCGTTAATAATGAACGTATCGAGATGATTCTTTTCTTAATTTGGGGTAGCGCGAAAATTCATGAGCATTGAAGCTATTGTATTAACGAAATTAACATTATTTCAACCTGAGATTAACTAAATAAAAAATTAAATCTCGGGTTAAAATGTTATTTTCGTTAATACAATATACAACTTAGAGCAACGATCTTTTTTTAAAATTCGAAGAAAAATAGTACTAACTAAACTATAGAGGTTACTATTTTATTTTATAATAATTACCTATCTTAACAATTTAATAAATATTAACATTTTTTCAGTCATTTTTAAACCAATTAAATTTGAAAAATTAAATTGTCAATACAACTATTTAGGTACAAAAACAACTAATGATCGAAACTCTACAACGCCTGTGAGCTTGGGAAAAATGAATTGAAAATAGCATCTAATTAAATAACAAATTCCGCCAACGCCAAGCTAATGAAGCTTTCGGGCTGAAATTTTTACCACTTATTAAGGGTGCAAAAAGCCTCAAAAATCCTGAATTACAAGTGTCTGCAATGAAAATTGCATTAATTATTAGCAATTGAAAAAAGCGGACATTTTCGACCATTTTTGAGCTCTTGCGCATAAACAAATTATCGGAATTTAATCGGACTTGTTTTACAGATTTATTTAATACCTTTTTTGTATAAACCTTTTTTCTCTATGAATAACAGTTTTATTACGCGAGTCAAAAAACCACTTTTCCATAACTTTGACCATTGTTTTAACAGTTTCCTAACTACGAGTAGTCTCCAGTTGATTTTTTGATATTTTGTTTATAACACGTTTCTGAACAATATTCCGCAGAGAAACTTCTAATAGTATTTTTTTTTCCCGAAAAAAAGCTATAATGACTGGCCTAATGCTGGTGCCATATAATTGAACTTCTTTATTGATATTTTCTTCATCCTCCTCATTTTGGCTTGATCTGAGACTCAATCTGGCCTCTATAATAGGTACCTAATTATCGCGCGCGTTCTCACGTGTATTACAATAAGCATTCTTACAGTGCATTGCGAATGATTGCGCTCCACCTCGAAAATCTGGTGTTCCCGATTTTTCCACCACCTAAAACTTTATTCCTATATTCACATTATAAAGCATTGTTTATACCATTTGTTTAAGTAATACAAAATTGATCCAATTTATTTAATACTATGATATAACTTAAATTTTTGCTCCTTAATGACTTTTTGATTAGAGAAGTTAAATTTATTATTTTTATCTTTTGATATTTGATTGTCCACAAACTTTGTGGTGAATTTCTTTATGAATTTATAAGCATAGTACAGTTGATATTTAAAAAGAGCTAAAAAAGAATTTCATTGTAGGGCCGTTTGGTTTACTAATACTGTGGGTTATGGAGTTCTCGGAGTTTATTTTTATGGCTGGTTCTTTATTGCTTTATTTATACTAAAAAAAAAAACAAAACGTACCATTGGAGAAAGCAATTGCGCCAGTTTTTGCATAAATTCGCATACAACCTAACCACAACCTAAGAAAGAACACTATCTTTTAAGTTCTAGCACCCCCTAAGAGATTAAGCAATAGCTCCTCCAAATCCATTCCACCTGTTTCAACAAAAACATTTGAAAATTGTCAAACATGTGCAACTTGATGCTTGTGTGAAATTTTTATATCAATTTGAAAATATTTTCCACAGACGAGTTGAAACAGTATGGACATGGCCCCAGTTTACAGACAATGCTCATTTGTAGAAAAATTTAAAATATGCAAATTTCTCAAACTGCAGAAAATAAGTATCAACAACCCCAAATTGTTTGAAAGAGAATAAAATTCTGTAACCAACAATAGCAAAAATATTGGTAATTCTATTTGAAGAAAACAAACAACTTCAAATTTTCCAAAGTTAGGCACAAAGGATTTCTTACAGAAACAACTATCTTCAATTTTTTTTCCAGTTAACAAATCGTAAAAACTACGATGACGTTTTGAAATTAAAACATTTTTATAGAAACAGTTAAATAATTTGATAAGAAATGTTTTATGTGGAACATGAAGTTTCAATAAAATTAAATGAGGAATCTACAAATAAAATATTTTTGGGTTGTTTCATCTAGAAAGTCACAGTTCTGTAGTGTCCAGGTTACTAGACTGTAAACCAAATATTCATATACCAACTGGGCCATTTTAGTGATGCACATATTGGAATCTCGGAAACCATAAGAAATAAAAAAAAATCTTAAATTCATTCTTCAGCATAATATTCAATATGACACTCACAAGAGAAAAAAATTCATGGTGGGTGCTCAAGGTATGTTGATTTCAAATATTCTTAAAAATAGAAATCAGTTCTTGGAGAATGTAACTACATATTACTATTTTTCAAAATATCTTAAAAACAGAAAGACTTAAGAGTTTGTCTGTGAGCGTCATTTAATATTCTAAAACTTTCCCCACTTAACCGTTTTGTTATATCTTATAGTTTCCAAGATGCAAAAATGATTTACCCGATATATTTATATTTGATTTATCATTGATGTAAGATACTTTTTCCTAAAATGAACAATTTAAAAAAAATGTAAACCTGAAGTGTTAAAAAAATTGTGATTAAACGTGCCTACTAATTTACAAAATTTATAATCGACAAATACACATATATAATTTTCACTAAAATACTTTTTCTTTTTAGAAGGTTTTATACATGATAAAAAAATCCTTTTCCTTTACAACAATGAACATCTTACAAACCATAAATACTTGTGAAAATTACTTGTATACGTGTTTACTATGCACTGTGGGTATTTATGCCTATGAAATTGCACTTTTTATAAAAATGCTGATTATTCCTTAGAACAGCATCAGTAATCAGGTGAGACATTTATCAGTAGTAGCCACTATATTACATAGAGTTTTCTTCTATTTATTTATGATTTCATATCATGTTTTTCACAGTATTGATGAAATCCGAGTAATATAAATAAAATTGAGGAGTTTATCACAGATATGATTGATTTTATTTTGTTTGACAATAAGTGTCCAATAAAAGGACAAAAAAAATGGACAAATAAATTTATTTCAAATGTTCACTATAAACAGGAACAGGATGGATCTTTAGGGTATGTATATTTAATTTTAAGGGTTGCAATTTAAGAATTTTCAAGGAATTATGTTCATCACAACAATCAAAACGCAAAAAGAAGAAGAAAATAGAAAGAGTACATTTCATATTTGTGTAGAGGATGTCTGTTACTTTTTCCTGCAACTCAAAATATTTTGACTTTTGACAAAGGTATAAGCATTTATTTCAGGTTTTTATATTTCTAGTATCTTTAAAAAAAAAACTGGTTAAGAAGGTTCATTTTTTTATTTTCAGAAAAGCTTTGGATCACAAGAATGAAAGTTATGATTCTGTCTTAGAGAAGAGTGTTGGCTTCAATAACCCCAATAACATCCAATTCCTCTCTGAACTGATGGATATCAACAAACATAATAGTTTTATGTCTGGATTACAGTAAGTAAGAATAATTATATTTAATAATATACTACTTTGTTTACAAGGTTTTCAGAAAAGAATAGGCCTTGCTTTAAGAGTAACTTTCGTGAATGCAAATAAAAGAATTTAGATCAAATTACCTTAAGTAATATAATTTTTATTCCTTAGAAACATAGAGACTTTTTTACTTTTAAGATATTTCAATAAAACTTGGTTTATGTGGGTCTTTGGGGTAGCCAAAAATGAATATGTACCTAACTAGAAAATTCTCCTATTTACACCAAGTTTCATTCAAATGTCTTAAAAAGTGGAAGTTATCTTAAAAAAATTATATGAAAAATTTTTTATTGAAGTAAGAGCTTTCAAGTACGAGCTCGTAATTTTCAAGAAAGCAATAATTGTACTACGGTAGTTTGAATTAAATCAGTTAAATCAACTTGGTCAAATTAGGGCAAAGATGTGAAATTTAATGTCAAATAACTTGCCGAAAGTAAATTTAACTTCTTTCGTTTTGATGTTAATGCCAAAAAAATCGAAACATTGATTTTCCTTATTATTGTAGACTTTTTTTAATGTTTGTCTAGGGTTTTAACTAAAACAGCAGGTCCGAATGTTTATTATGAAACAAACCTGATCACTTAGCAATACACAGCTTCTTGAGAGAATAACAGTAATAATTCGAGGGGGAGCATTCGTCTTTACATCTTCCTTCGTCGTCTGTCTATTCCCGCCCCGCGATCTTGCTTGCAGCAACCGTTTCAGCTCACACGAAGATACGCACTATCAAATGATATACCTACTAGATGATGTTAAGTAATGAATCTATAATTTTATGCTAATGAAAATAAAATCTACATAATCAAAACGTCAAAAACTTCTATTGGCAGCAAACAACTATGATACATATCTACATTATTTTTTAATCAAAAACTGAAAGGTAGACTTTTTAAACTTAGATATTGTTAGGAGAATTTCATGGGTAGAAATGCAAGAATTAGTGCAGTGAAAGAATGCAAATAATGGCTTATTTTGGAAAGTATTTGTTACAGCTATGAACATATCCCATACCCAGTTTTCGACAGTGCTGAATCCGAATTTGAGGCCCGTTGAATTTCTAGCCCTGCCTATCCCCCGCTACTTTCCCCAATCCACCCTTTTTTTTATTTTGGTCCCAGTGATGAACTATATATCCTCCCCATCCCCTTCCCTCCATTTTCGATGGCATTGATCATGATCCTCCCCAACTTTCGCAACTTCCTCGAACTGTTAAGAACTAACCTTCAAATCAATTAATAAATAAGTTTAAAGCATTTGTCGCTTTTCTTTGTGTGAAAATTGCAATTTTCAGTTATCTAAACTTTAACATTGCTGATGAAAATTTAACTGAACTCTTAAAATTTTGCTTGAAATAACAATTGGATGTTCTATTTTCAAACTCCGTAAAAGTGAATAATTTGGTATTGTGACGAAAACAAAAAGGCCACACTATAGGCACATCATTATAATAACAAAAATGAATTGAATTAAGAATTCCTTATAAAAAAATGTCCTTACAATGTCTGAGTAAATCTTTTTCTGTTTTGAATAAGAAAGTAAATAAAAAAAAAACATTCTAAGTTTTTAGTTTCTTGTCGATAACTTCAAATTTCTCTTCGGCAAGTTATTCGTCATAAAATTCTGCAACCTGGAGCACCCTATTTTGACTGACTTTATTTCTTAAGATATGCACTTAACTAGATCCGAGCTAAAAAAAACTAATACTGCCTAAATTATAATATATTTATTATAGAAGAGGTTACAAATATTTAAAAGGCTTATTCAGGGTACAGGGTGATCCATTAACGGTACGGAGCAGCGTTATATAAGAAACTAGACGTGCTGTGATTATGGGGTAAAAAATCTATCAACAAATATGGGCAAAAGAAATTGATTTAAAATATTTTCAAGTTCGTAACTTCACCGCTACGGGGCGTAACTGCTATAATGTTACAGAAAACTTTAGTTTTTTCGAAATTTCGCTTATGTAACCTAAGTTGAAAATGCACTTTTTAGATACAAAGTTAATCCTTTGATAAGTTTTGTTTGAACTTTTTTGTTATTACAATTGCAACGTCAGTATAAAAGACGCCATCTTTAAATTTTAAATTGTCATATCTTCTAAATGCTTTACTCGATTTCAAGAAACAATGGCTCATTTTAAAGAACTATTGATAAAATTTATATTTATGATATGGGAATAAAAATATTATTCTCCTATGCAACGACAGAGGAAGAAGTTTTACAATTGTCTCCGTTTACTAAAAAAATTAAATGCAACGATATAAGTTTTTTTTTCACGGCACCATTTATTAAGGAAAGCAAATATACAAACCGTAGGTCGATATCTGTTTTCGTTTTCAAGTTATGTATTGTTAAAATAGTGAAGTCGTGCTAGAACATCCTCCTTTAGTTAGTTGTCTAAATAGCATTGACATAGTCCAAGCCAAAATTAAATCGTAAAACTAACGAGCATTCAAATAAAAACGTGGTCGAAGTTGGCTCTGACACATTGGACGTAGGGAGTAGCTTATAGCAACCAACTTAACCTCATTTCTCAACGAGCTGTATAGCAGCTGTCAGTTTCAATAACGTTAATGACTATATAACTTTATTTTAAGGAATAATCGTGATAACAATAACAAACAATTAAAGGAGCTGCGGAAAGTGTCCCCCTCCTTGTTATAACAATAAATTAAAATTTGTGATAAAACACGTACAGAAGTTCTTGGCGCATTTTCCATTATTTGTTGGACATTTTCTATTAATTCTTCAGTCCGCTTTTTAGGTCGGCCGCTTCCTTCTTTTCTTGTTACACTGCCCGTATCACGAAAAACATTAACACAACGCTGAACTGCACTTTGAAAAATTTTGTACTTAACGCCGGGAAATTGATTTTGAAATTCTATGAAACATTCCTCAATAGAATACTTCCATATTCCATCAATCTTGCGTCCATTTCTAAAGTAGGACTCTATGATAAACACTTTTTGTTCTTGAGAAAACACCATTTTAAACGCTTTTTAAAAGGAAAATATTCAAATTGATAGCGGCGATATAGCGCTTTGACAGATGACGTTTAAGTTCATTTTTTCAGAACCAACTTGACCACGTTTTTATTTGAACGCTCGTTATATCAAGCTTGTCTTTAAAAAAGTACTTGCTATATTTTGAAATTTTTTTAATAACTTACAATGTTTCATTTTTGTATTAATTCCAAATATCTGAGTATTTATAAAGATTATTGTTTCTATAACGAGGCAGGATATGCCCTATGAAAATAGACAACTGAAAAAGTATGTCAAATGAAATGTGACAGCTCTTGCTACGTGCAATATTAGTGTTATTTGTGTTGGAAAAGTACAAAGACCTCTTCTGAGGTCGTTGGAAAAGTACTTTTGAACAAGGAAAATGCCTTTTACGATTGTGGAAGCGTATGATATGTTAGCAGTTTATTTTAAATGTTTGCAAAATGCTGTTATAGCTTCAAAAAAATATGTTTTGTGTTACCCTCGTAGAATACGCCACACCAGAGAAGTATTTCAGCGTTTAGCCAGATGCCACTACATTCTGTAAGAGGACATTGCCGTGCAAGAAAGGAAGATTGTGTTGGCTTGTGTCCATGTAAATCGCAAATAATTGTCAGGGAATTAGTTAGAGATCTAGGAATTTCATATGGAACACAAGTACTTTTCTCATACAAATAACACTAATTTTGCACGAAGCAAGAGCTGTCACATATCGTTTGACATAATTTTTCATTTGTCTATTTGCATACGACATAGCCTGACTTGTTATGGAAACAATAATTTTTATAACTACTCAGATATTTGGAATTAATTAAAAAAATTAAACATGGCAGTTACCAAAAAAATTTCAAAATATAGCAAGTACTTTTTAAAGACAAGCTTGGTATAGTTTTACAATTTATTTTTGGCTTGGACTATGTCAATGCTATTTAGACAACTAAATAAAGGAGGATGTTCTAGCACAACTTCACTATTTTAACAATACATAACTTGAAAACGAAAACAGATATTGAACTCTGATTTGTGTATTAAAATCTTCGCGAAGCTAGACAAAATTTCTATAGGATGATAATTTATCAAATTCATGGGATAGCCACTTTTAAGTATAGGGCATATTATTGTTTTCCAAATACATATCAGGAAAAGTTTCTAAAGAGACTTTTCATAGTTTTAATTTTTATTGTAAAATTTGTAATTCTGTACCACTCTGTAGTTGGTATTTAAACTGTTGGGTGGCATAGCTAAATAAAGATTAACAAGCATATTTTTAAAAAATTTCTGTTCATAAATTATTTTCAAAGTGCAAAAAAGGTATATCGTTGCAAAGACAATCCAAAATTTATGCTAATTTTTGAATTTTTCAAAGTCCAATTGTATACTTTTTTATCTATGATTTCTATCTTTCTGCCTGTCAATGTGTATGTATGTTATAAAATACATTGACATACAATATAACAAAATCTTAGAATATAGTCGGGTATGCAGTTAAAACCAAATTAAATGTGTTCTCTTTTTTGTTGAGCTTTCGGAATAAATTATCCCTTCTTCAGGAGAAACTACATTGGAACATATAATTAGATAACAACAAAATATTAATAATTTAAACATATAACTTACAAAACTTGAGGATTGAATAAAAAATTATCAAGTTTAGAACAGAATCTCTTCAAAAAACTAGTCATAATATGTTGAATATGTTGAAAATATAATGTTAACACTATTAAAAACCATTAATTAAAACTTTTGATAAAACTTATTTACAATAAAACTATTTAAAATTTGAAAAATTCTTCTCAAACATATTTTCTCTTAACCTTAAAACGTGAATGGCCATATGCTGGCAAGGAATTAAAACTAAATCATTGAATCATACCTCAAAACAACAGTATCTAGAGCAAGGGTTCCCAAACTTTTTTTGTCAGGTCTCGCTACTGCCTAAAATGAAAATGTCCA